CTCTCCAGAATCTTGACATAATGAAATTGGAGGACTTTCAAATTACTGAGAAAGTGATGTAAAGCATGGCATACTCCATATTATACATCTACTCATTCAAGGGTCAAAAGCACGGACACATGTCAGACAGCATAAGTGCCAAGATGAAGTAAATAGCAAGCTCAACAGCACCATACTGGATGAGAGAGATATTTCACAGACAAAACCAATACTCTGGTGCAAAAGGACATTCACTCTGGGGAATAAAACTATAACCATACTGGATGAGAGATATATTTCACAGACAAAACCAATACTCTGGTGCAAAAGGACATTCACTCTGGGGAAAAAAACTATAAGTTAAATATGAAGGATTAAAGGCAACATGTATGTTTTCTAACTTAGCCAAATTATTTTTATGGACTGTAATGAGATATAATTAACTTACTTGAAATTGAAGTAGTGTGTATTTGTAAATTTCAGTATCTAGCGCATGAAGGAAGAAGCACACCCAAAGTTCAAACTATAAATTAAACAAAAAAGCTAGTAACTATGGAAAAGCTTTCCTTCTATGGTGAGTGTAAAAAGGTGAAACGCCAACGCTAGTTGAATTATTAATAACTTTGTCAATATGTGAAATTCTAATGCCACATCGAATCATGCACATCTTGGATGTAAACATTCTCTTTATATACAAATGAATCATGATCACTCAATGCAAAGAACAAAGCAGGTGAAAAAGCCATTGTTACAATTTTTATGCTAATGAGGATTTAAGCTGGCCTCATATACAGAGGGATGCTTAAAAACTTGCAAAGCTTGAAAAGAAAGAAAATGAATCTGTCAGGTGTCGAAGAAAATACTAATAAACATTTGGTTGGTAGATTTCATTGTAGGAATCACAAAATGTAAGGTTCACAAATTCCACTTTCAACTTGGATAATATATGATAACTTTGATGCCCCCATTTTTTCCAAAAATGTGTACATGGAGAATAGGCATTTCCACCGTTTTAATTGGTAACTCTTTTCTACATCACGTGAAGGAATCCCCCTGCTCATGTTGGCCGTTTCACCATTATAAGGTGCTCTCCCTATCCCTCTTGATTAAAATTACAGACCAGATCACATTTACCAATATGGCACGAAAATGGAACATGATACATGATACAAACATGAGATACATCATACATGGCCTTAGAAAAAAAAAGGAAAATGCATATATGTTTGATTCATATGAATATATGTGTATATGTGTGTGATACTCAGCGTCATGTGTTAAATTTTAACATAAAATAATTTATTGGAGCTAGTATAGAGTTACTACAGAGAAGTAAGAAGTAGACATGTATTATGTAACTAGAAAATCATAGAAAATTTTATTCAATGGATTATGGTACATATTAAATATATTGGATATGATGTTTAAAAAATATTCTTAATTCATTTCTTCATTCACTATTTAGTTGTTTAAGGTCTTCATATTCATCAGATCAGTATCAGTAGTTTTTGTCAAAATGTTCTTGTTTAAAAAGTCTCTTCAAAACATATTTATTGCTGCTCCTGCTAAACAGTATCTCCGTTTCTTACACAATATAAGATGAGAGTCGCGTGATTTTTTTATGCATCTTGTATCAGTGTCCTCAAAAATAAACCCAATGCCCAAAAATATTGAGTGTTTCTCAAATTTTGGGAAAATGCAATGGTGTCATTGCTAAAACTAATTTTCTAACGTAAATATTCCACCCATTTATAGAATTTGGTAACAACTCACCAAACAAGTTGGGAGGATAAAGAAAACAACCAAGAAGTTAACACATATCGTCAAGATATTATATTTTCTACGAACAAAACTTGTCTTGATAAAAATGCTAATATACGCACACCATTTTGCTATGAAATCCTTCCAAGTATAACTCCATTGTTTCTCAAAATTTTGGGACATGCTACAATGTCATTGTGAAAAACTAAACTTCTACAGACAATATCCCACACATCTATCACATTTGAACAAACTGGGGGAAAGAAAAGCAAAACAACCAAGAAGTTATACAAGCAAGAGGAGAGAATGCTTTCTACGGGCAAAAGTTGTGTTTTGTTGCAAGTGCTAAACTATATGCACACCATTTAACATAAAATCATTCCAGGTAAAGCTCCATTTATATGCTACCAATAAATGCAATCTCCTCCACAGATAGAGAACCAGCAGATTTACAGAAGATTACATGAAAGGCCAAATACCTGCCCTTGATATGAAATAAGGTGGAAGCTCCCCAAGTGCAGTTCCTATGCCCCAAAGAATGGCCTCCAGCTGAACCTGAGGAAGCAGCTTGCTGAGTGGAATGTTGACTATTGAACCAGGGGCTGATGTAAATACTGGGGGTCCAAATGCTGCACAATCTTTCTCAAGCCAAGAAGGTGCTCTTTTCAGCTGTATGGTATCATATGGAGCAGTTTTTAGATCAATTCGACCGCATTGGACAGCTTTGATTGTAAAGAGTGCAATATGGGGACCAAGATATAGAACAAATGTGTGCAAACCAGATCCTGTGAAAAAAGGAAGCAGTATGAGATGGTCAGTGACTAAAATATGCCAGATGTTTAAGGTTGTACTATTAGATTTTACATAATAGCACCAAGACACTTCACAAACAAATAAACTCAAAATCTTTGAAGCATGCAGGCATCCGAATGATGTTTAAAAGCTACACTTTTCACATCTCATAATGTGAAGTTGTCAAGAATTTCTGAATAATCACTTTCTTTAAGCATGTAATAACAACAATAAGCTGCTGCAAATATCTCCACAAAGCATCTACTAAAAGGACGGCCGCTAATAACACAGTTTTTTTCTGAAAACTTAAGCTCAACTAGAAAGACAATATCGCCATTATTAACTCAAATCCATTTATACAAAAATGTGGTTGTCAAAGAAGCAGTAACATAGAGTGACACATTCCACAAGAACATGAACCAAAATTTACAGCTTTCAGTCAACCTAATGACAGCACTCTAGCAATAGGAGTTTAAACCACAAGTATGGCTTCATAATAGAAGTAAATGTGCTACATAGTATATGACTTGTCCTCAAAACAAAAGATGGTAGAAAGTCCAACTAATTTTATACAAAGAACCAAAAGTACCAAACTTGAAGTTAAATGAACTTGTTGTACGTATTCGAAACCTTGGTGCTTGCATTTATTAAGGGAGATCTCTTTGATATTTTTGAAACTTAACTGGCTTAAAGTTATGGTTTCCCAACTTTAATTAATGCAAACTGAGGATTATAATTGCATGATTCAGTACAGAAGTAAGGAAAGAAACTTCTTGGTCCTTTTCTGGTTTATATAAATTATGGCTGTTACGATGCAAAATTCAGATAACTAGTGCAAGCCTTGAAAGAAAAGGTAATTGAAAAAGCTACTATAGATGAAACGAAATTGATTGTTGATCCAAAAATATGCTTGTGACGTTAGTTGCTCGAGCATTTTTGCAGCCACGTGTAGTTTTAACTAACAAAATTGAGATCAACAATAAGTTTAGAAAGTAAAAAAACGAAAAGTACACTTACCCAGTCCAATTGACGATGCCACACCAAGGGCCACCCACCACAGTGCAAACTTGGAGTAAGAAAGGAACTCCTGAACATGCTGACTCCATGCACACAAGTCAATGTGTTAACAAGTTAACAGCTAATTAGATGATTTATTTAGACAACATTGAAAAGAAAAACATAGCTATGACAAGTTGGCAACAAGTTGATGTTCATTATCTACACGTGTATGAGAACTAAACAGCATATGCTGTCATTAGTCACATAATTGATAGTTTCTACTTAATACAAAATATTTATCCTAAACTAGCCTGTCAAAGTAAACATCAAAGCCTTTAAGTAGATGCCATGTATGCAAAAGTGAATTTGGATAACGGATGTGGAGTTTCAATTGAAAATGACATGGTAATAACTGAAGAAGGAGACGACTACCTTTTCATGAGGACCATCAGTAGCTATAAGAAGTAGTCCAAAAGATAGAAAGAGGACAGTTAAGATCGTAAACCAAACACCTTTCGTCAAAATATATAGGACAGAGCGTTTCACGTATAATGTACAGGCAAATATGAAAAACTTGAATGTTCTGAAAGGTTGAGTGGTCAACGTCAATTTTTCCAGATCCAGCCGATGCTTCTCACGAAGTTCTGCAAATGAAAGCACACATTAAAACAGAATGAATGTTAAAGACATATAAAGCCAGGGATGGCTATGTCCCATATAAACTGGAAAGACTTAGAAGAAACAAGCAAGGAAACCAATCACACTATAGTAAACAGGTACTCACACCTTTGCCAGCGAGAATAGATAGTACATTAAAAAAAAGGAAAGGGGGGAGGATTAAGGGAGTTCATTAATGTTTTAGAGAAGTGAAAAAATTCTTAATGACACAAGTATTTTGAGAAGACAGAAGTCTCTTGGTTTTCTTATCAGCTAATTTAACCACAGATAAAAACCTCCTAAGTGATTTCTCAGTACCTAAACACTTTTTTGCTTTATGGAGATTGCATCTAGTCACTATCTTAGTGAAAAGTAATTGAGCTGACCAATATGGTAATAATGAACATTACGCGTGGAGTATTAGGAATATTGACAGGCATCCGTGTGCTATCAAAAGGTCTCACATGATAAAAATGCAAAATACCACTCTTTCTTTCTTTCTTTTTTCTTTTCCCCCTCCCTTATAAAGGATGAAAAAATCAGCTTTCAAACATTAAGGAGGAAAGCAGAGATGGGCTGGAATTTATATGGTTAGAAATGAAACAAACTGTGAACTATTACGAGATTAAGCTGATCATTCCATAAATTAAATGTCTAGATACATGAAAAAGAAAGAACATAACAATGACAAGGCCCGAAATATAAGGAAGGTGAAGCAAGCCCACGGCAAAAAGATCTAAAATCAATTATAATTAGGTTGAACGATACATAAATTTGGTCTCATGTAATGTTATACTAGCCAGAAACAACTCTTGAGTCCATCGACCTTTAGTAGTAAGCATTCAACCACTCACTTTGTAGTTTATTTTCAAAAAATGGACATAGTAATAGATATTATAAGCAGACAATTTCCGCAGTTAGCAAGTTACTCCTTGTTCCCTTAGCTATAGGGGTGGCCCCCTGGTCCCATGAGACTAAAAGCCTGAGCTTGGAGGATATTACCATACTATCCAATGACAATAATTTCACATGGAGTTTGCACAACTAATGTTTAACCTAGAAGACATTAACTTTACTGCATATAAGAGAAGAAAAATCCATTGCAAGGTTGAAAAGTAAAAAAAAATTATAATATAGTCCGCCGATAAGTACATTATATGAGGAAAAACACCAAATTTGCAGACAATAAGATATATTATATTGGGAAAATTGTAAAAATTAAAAAAAAATTGTAATACGATCGTATTTCCAACAAATTTCTGCATCCAAACGAGAGATCGCATCAGAAATCAAACGGTTAGACTCACCAGAAACCAACACACCATTGGATGAAGAAGGATCGCCGGCACCCATATCTAGAAAAATCTTATGAAGCACAAACCCTAGATTCTCCCTTCACCATCAGCAGGCCATCAGATCTGAGATCAAAACCGAGATCAGCTCCAATCCGATGAATTCAGAGATGCAAAGTTTTGATATTCTTTTCTAGGGTTTTTAATTTGGATCAGGATGAAGCGTCCATTGACGTGAATCGCTAGAACAGATAGGGAAGGAGAGGAAGAAACGCTAAAAATTCGTCCTTCTCGTTTGATTGCACGTCGCACGCACCCTCAACTAATATTGAAGGGAGGACGAGGTTGGGGTATATATCTTAATATTTTAATATTAAAATACTACTTTTAGTGGAGTTCTTGTATCAAGTTAATCGGGCTAATGGGGGGTATTTTTGGGGTTATATTAAAGAGTTAATGAGGCGCTTGGAGTGTTTAATTGGCTGCTGTTAGATTAATGATAAGGACTTTATTCCGAAAGGATTGGATTCGTCATCGTTAGACGGGGGAACTTTTTTTTTTTTCCCTTTTTTGCTTTTTTGCTTTTTACTTTTTATCTTTTTCCCTATGTGACGTCAACCCGCCTTCTTCACTCTACTTTTTTTTTTAGGGCTTTTTGTCTTTAGGTCCAATAGTTTACCTCCCTTTATTTTTAAACCCAAGTAGTATTAGTTGTATCTCTAAGCCCAAATTTCTTTTTTTATTTATTTTTAAACCCAATTTCAAAATATAATACTCTTATATGTGGGTCCCCCTATATAAGAAAATTGGGTTTAAAGACAAATACAAAAAGAAATTTGGGCTTAGAGATACAACTAATACTACTTGGGTTTAAAAATAAAGAGAGGTAAACTATTGGACCTAAAGACAAAAAGCCCTTTTTTGGGCTTTTTGTCTTTAGGTCCAATAGTTTACCTCCCTTTTTTTTTACATGTAACATGTTTTTTACGTGTTTTACTATGGACGTCTCGACCTGAAATTATCTTTATTGAATATAATATTAATTATTTGTATGTTGTAATATAAGCCACTCCTGATCTTAAACATGGGAATTTGAATAAATTCTTCTTAATTTTTAGCTTTTTTTTCCCAATCCGTTATGAATCTTGATAAATCGAGAACATTTGATGCAATAGGCAGCAATTGGAAAGAATGTGAATCCTAAATAAAGATAGTTACGATTTGTCAACTCTAAGCAATGAAATTTTATGCTATGTCACATCAATTGGAGATGTATATGTTGCTAAAGTTGTATAAGAATATAAATTACACATCTATACAGTCTCTTACTTGGATGCTACAAATAAAGGTTTATCATCATGCATAAAGAGGTCGTCAATGTACATAATTACAATGGGTGAAAAGCTATTTTAAAACAATTTTAGGGTGTGATTTGACAGTTCTTTGAAATTGGGCTAATTTAATAATGGACCCAATTGTGGTCAGACTAGTTCATGCGGGCCGCCTCTCCTGACAACGACTAATCCATTTAGTGCGAAAAAAACTGAACTAAAATTAATAGGGTCATTAATTTACTAAACAAATAACACTTCCCACGCTTAAAAGGGTTGTCAAGCAAGGATCCAATTGATCGAGTTTTAAAGAGTTGTCAAGCTCAAACTTAAAAGGGTAACATTAAGGGCGGACCCACGTATACCAAATTGGTGTCACGTGACATCAATTTGGTATAGGATCCTCCATATTCGCCTCCAAATCCCCCAAAACCCTATTCCCGTAAAACGCCTCTCCTGATAATTTCATTGCGATAAAAAAAGAACATGTTGGCTCTACCCTAACATCTTCTCCGCCTCGAATTCAATAATATTTGTCAGTTGTTGCCTCGCTGGAGGCCCACTAGTGCTCCTCCCACCTCTTAACCCTCCTCCTCTAGTCCTCCGCTACTCCATCCTCCTCTGTCAATATATCCTCCTCCACCGATTCTGAAAGCCCATGACCTCGTCTTCCTCCTCTGCCCTTGAAGACCCACCAGCCTCGATCACTTTCTTTCGCTAGCATCTTACGGCTCGTAAAGTAAGTTGTTTATGTTTCTTTTTAATTTTTATAATTTTGTGTTGGAATTTAGAATTTAGGTATAGCTTCAACATTGAAATTATTTGATTTTTGTACAAACTCAGCTTTCTCCTCATTGCTTTCTCCTCATTGTCAATTGCGATTCTAATTGAAAGAGTTTGGTTGGATTTGATCAAGAGAACAAATTTTGTTAATTGTTAAAATTATTGTAGGTTTATATTTGAATTAGTAGCAAACGAGTAAGACCCGCCCATTGCCGCGTCATTTGTGCAAGGATGCCAAAAAAAATAGGGGTTAGTATTGTGCTTGGAACTTGTTTTTTAATTTGTGGATGAAAATGTATTTAGGAGTTGTAATATAGATAATTAGTTAATTTTAAATAAATCCCTCAACCCATTGAATTTGTTATTGGTCTCACGATATTTATAATCATTTTCAAATTAATGACTTTGGTTATAACTTCTACTCTTTCGTAGAGGGACTAATTTCTAAATAATTTAAGAACTAAAGGATCTCATATAAAGTTTAATTATTTGAGGGGTTAATTTCTAAATGAGTTAAGAATAGGCAGGACGTGATAGCACTTTTCATGATTTGAGGGATTAGTCTCAAAATATAAGAGTTATAAGTCGCTTTTTTTTGGGAGGGGGGGGGGACTGAAGTACATAGTTTTTTTCAAAATAAATGAGGTAAATTTTGAGACTATTTGTTAAAATAAAGATTAAACTTTTTCTTTTAAGTAGATTGACGTCGAAATCATTGGAATTTACGATTGTATTCTCATATTTCAATATTATTTTAAAATTTGTCCCTCGACTTAATAGAAACATTATTAGGTTCTCTAATTCTTGCAATCTTTTTTTAAATATATAAATATTTAACTTTAGGTACTTGTACTTTTTATTGAAGGGAATGATTTCAAAATAGCTTTTTAAATAAGAAACCTACTATCAAATTTTAATGGTTTCAGGAGTTAATTTCTAATTAACTTAATTAACTTAAGAAGTATAGGACTTGATAGTAATTTTCATTATTTGAGGGATAAATTTCAAAATATGAAAGATGTAAATGACTCATATTGGAAAAAAAAGTTGAAAGAATCATACCTGTGACCTCAGGATCAATAGATTAAGGTAGGCTTGGGCATGGGTCGGGTCAATCTGTGGGCTGACCTGGCCTAGCCCGCTATGGGTCACGATCAGGGTTGGCCCGTAGTGGGTCGGGTCTAGCCTAGCCCATGATATACATGGGTCACAGGCCGAGTTGAGTCTAGCCCCAGACCTGGGGTCTGAGAAGTAGGTCCGCCCTACGCCTGACCTGCCTCGCATGACCTGGCCCATGATACATCTTTTTAAGACTAGTTGTTCCTTTAGCCATTTAAATATGCAACTAGCTGCCAATAAAGGAAAAAAGGCCATAGATCTTTAGCTCGTTGGCCTTGTGGCCCATTGAGAAATAAAGCAGCAATCTTTAAGCTCATTGTTGTCTATTTGAAAGGATTAAAAAGTTTGATACAAGTTTAATTACTAAAAAATAAATTAGAAATAATTTTATAATTGTAAATACAAGTTTAATATAATTAAGAAGGTTTAAAAAGGAAAAAAGTTAGACGTAAAAAACTCATGGGTCGGTCCATGACCCACGAGGCGTGGCCGGGTCAAACCTGGCTCGTACCTAGGTGAGTCGTGGTCGGGCTGGATAGTAGTACGAACAAACGCGTCAGCAGAAGGTAGGCCGGTCGCACGCCACGCCCCGATTAAGGGTCTAATCAACTAAAGCAGTGTAACATTTGAGTTGATTTAGCTTCTAGTAATTATATTATATATATATATATATATATATATATATATATATATATATATATGATATATAGTAGAGCAAAACTTCTGTCACTTAGTGGACGTCCACTAAGTTTCTTATCCATTGATGATCACTTGATTGAGGGCTACATTATGGATGATCCGTTCCGTAAACTTGATCTACATATTCTAAAACCAACACAAGCAAATTTGAGGTGAACGCCGTCGTAGTTTGAGCGCCTTCATGCCACTCGTATCAATTTTAACGGTTTCGAGTGAATAGAACTTTTTACATGGCTCGACGGAAGGTCAAACCACACGAGTTCACAACCAAATTTGTGTGTTGGGTTTAGATATGTAGATCAAGTTAACGGAGGCGATCATCACAATATAGCTCAATCAAGTGATCATCCAATGATAAGAAACTTAGTGGACGTCCACTTAAGTTGAAAAAGTTTGCTGCTATATATATATATATATATATATATATAATATATATATATATATATTATATATTATATAAAATAGCTATTTATACTGTAGCTATACCTACAAGACTTTTTCTGTAGTTGTAGACCCAATAACTTTAGTATATATATAAATAACAAAGTCTAGACTCTCTAATAAAGAAACAAACTTACATATTGTCAAGAATCAAGTTAATCCACAGTACACATAATCTGTAGAATCAAGATCAAATTAATGATTTTGTGCTTGTTTTACCTAGTTAATAATTTTATTTTTTAGTTTATTTGTTTTTTATTATCAGTGACTTGTGACATGTTGTACTGTTATTTTAAAAAAAAAGCGACCTCTGGCCATGGTCCTTCATCATGTCAATCTATATAAAAGTCGTCACATACTAGAGAGAATATACATAGTGGCGTTGGTGATTCTATTTCTAACATTAATCCTCAAAAATCCATTATGATAGTTAACCTGATCGCTTAGTGACATATGAGAAATATGTATTTGATTGTGTAACTAATCATGTGGTAATATGCTTTTTTTTTAATATGAAATGTTGGGGATTCGAAATAATCAAATCAAATCCGTACCCTTCCGGATCTTGTGTTTGAGAGTTGAGCAAGAATGAAATTTACCACAAATCAAAGATAAAAACTTGTAGGAAAGTAAATAAGAAAGAACACACCAGATTTAACGAGGTTCGGCAACGTGCCTACGTCCTCGGGAGCCACACCACACAATTCTTTGATTACTTGAAGAAGATTACAATGCTTGCAATTGGCCTCTCTCTCTCTAAGATTTCTAACCTCAAAGAGCCCTCAAAACCCTCTTTTTTCGTGCTCTTTTTTCTCTTAAACCCCAAAGGGATGTGTTTCTATTTATAACAAAACACAATCCCAAATAGATTAGGATTCTAAAACGAGTCTGCCACACCCTGGTGTGGCACAGACCATACCCATAGCAGACAGGACAGACTCTACCATACCCTGGTGTGGCGCAGACCACACATAT